GGTGGCTCACACCTGTAATCCCAGCACTTTGGGAGGCCGAGGCAGGCAGATCACCTGAAGTCAGGAGTTCCAGACCAGCCTGACCAACATGGAGGAACCCTGTTTCTAATAAAAATACAAAATTAGCTGGGCATGGTGGCACATGCCTGTAATCCCAGCCTCTCAGGAGGCTGAAGCAGGAGAACTGCTTGAACCCGGGAGGTGGAGGTTGCAGTGAGCCAAGATTGCACCACTGCACTCCAGTGTGGGCAACAAAAGTGAAACTCTGTCTTAAAAAAAAAAAAAGAAAGAAAAGAAAACTTAATAGAATTGAATCAGTACGTACCAACATTCATTCCCTCCTTCTGAGAACAGGTTGCAATTCACAGGAAGGAAGTTGAAGAATTAGAAAATGCTATTCATGAACTGGAAGCAGAAAATTTGGTGCTTATTGATCAACTATTCAACTGTAGACTTGTGGATCTCAAGATACCCAGGTGAAAATTGTTAATATATATAGAGTATTTTGTAAACATTTGTATCTATTGTAAAAAGTTGCTTTAAAAAAAAAAAAGATGATTTAATTCTTCAGTGCTCCAGCAGTAGTCAAAAAGAAAGGGACACATAAAATGGATGAAGGTATAGGATTATTACTATTGACCATTGGTACAATGTAAAGTTTGACTTGGTTTTTCTTGCAATGCACTGTAGTCCCAATAGCCAGCACATAACATGAGCATCATAACTGCCAACATTCTGGAGCCTCCAGACCAGCAGGGGGAATGGTCATGAAAGTAAGTACATAACAGTACAGCAGAAGATGGAGGAGGTAGAGAGTTAGCACAGAGGAGGAGGTGATCCACTTGCCGGAAGCTTCATGGAGGTGATCTGGGCTCCTATGTATTGTAGAATTATTTCTTTTGGTTGAAAGAGTCAAAACTACCCTGGAGGCCAAGAAAAGAGCTTGGCATTTCAAGTCACATTTGTTCGTGCACACAAGAAACCAAGTGGTGCATACACCTTTATATGTTTGGTTAGCTGTTTTCCTTATCTGACAAAAAAAGTCTTAATATATTAATCCTGACAGTAACCTAGGGCCCTTGAATATAAAATTAAAATTCAAAATGGCACTCATAATGTAGACAAGTAGTCAAAACCAAAAAAAAAATCTAATAGTAGCATGTTTAGGAAGAGAGGGTAAGTCACACAAATGTAGGGTGCATGTGTGCAAGTATGGGAGAGAAATGTCTAGGTCTAGGAATTAAAGCAGATGTTAAGTTGAACCTGGGGGAATAGCCAGGAAAAATTTTCCACACAAGTAGTTCCTATTGTTTGTGTGACATGGAAAATTACTATTTGAGACATGATCATGTATTTGTTATTTTTAAACTTTCTATTGTTTTCCAAGAAAGGTGGATACAGGTAAATTATGGGTTTCTTCTTTGCCAAGCTAAATGATGGGTGTCAGGATACAAGATTAGAGAAATTGGGAGATAAACTGGGTGGGGCAGGATAGAGAAAGAGGCCATCTGCCCCCTTTGCATGATTACTTGTGTGCTTCAGAGAGAGTAGACACCAATATAGATGAGGTGAAGCTGAATGAGGATTGATTACTGAACTCCTGTATTTCCAGTCTCTTCAGCTGGTGCCCTAGAGAGCCCCTTGGGGGTAGGTGCTCACTGTTGCCCAGTAGGCAGTGCTCGCTTTTGCCAGCCCTCCTCTCTGTGATCAGGTCTCCAGTGCTACATTCCTGTCCCACCTCTAATCCTCGTCATCTGCTGCTGCTGCCTTTAGAATCATGTCTAATCTCTGCCAGGCATTGCTGGTATGTGGCTTCTAACTACTGCTATACCTGCTGTCCACTGCCGCCTTTTCTGAACTGGCGAAACTTTAGGAAAGAGCTACCCTCTAAACTGCCAGACCCATGTCTCTACCTGGATCAACTCAGTCTGGTATATTTGATTTTGTTCTGATATGGTTGTAAAGTGCTAATAATTCTAAAAAAGGGAATTATTTCATAGGCCAGAGGGGACTTGGCAAGAACAGAATGGGAGACTGAGAAACTTTTAATGGGGATTTTTCATTGAGTTGTTTACTGTGCAGTATATAATTTAACCTCATCCTCGCTCTTCCCCGTAAAAATCTTCCGTAAAATCCACATTGTTCATCAGTGCTTTAAGGGGCTGGCTTTCCTTACTGAGAGGAATGGAATGCTTAGTCTAGCTTCAGAGTTGGAACAAATGAAGTCAAAATATTTCCAAGGGAAAAGAAACAGCATGGGTGACATTTATAGGAACTGATATATGTGTCCTTGCTATATGCTTCCATAACACTCTGAACTTTTCCTTTGTAACCAACCTTTATCACACTTTTGATTATTTATTTAATGTCTGCTGCTTTACTAGCTTGTAAACTCCTTGAGGCAACTGTTTTTGGACACTTTAGAAAGACCCGCATAAAGAAACCAGAAAATGTGAAAGCCCTCAGTTATCTACTAGACTTCTTATGCAGAAAGACAACCTGAGGGCGTTCAGGAGCTTTCACTGTACCCATTTCCAAGCCAAAGGAATATTACACATATTATATTTTATGGTAACTTCCCCCTCCATCTCTTTGTTGAGAATTAAGTTTTGTAAAATACTGGTAGGGTGTTAAGAAATAGACATGAACTGTCTCCAGTGGACACAGAAGAAGTTCTATTTTCCTATTTGGATGAGGAATGGGATACTGTGGTTAATAGAGTTACCACATTTCCTATGTAGAGCTACTCAAACTTTTTCCCATCACAACTCACATAGAATGTCATAGGATTTGTTTGACACACTGGGACAAACAGATGAGGAAACTGTCAGCCAGAGGTGACTGCCCAGGACTCCAGCGCCACAGGGCTGAGGCTAAGTGGGCCAATACCTACAAATCTAACATTAACTTACCATAAGAACATCTTTTGAACTATTTTCCATATCATTAAGTATCAAGTGTTGTTACCCTGTAGTAGTACAGAAGTGACAGTAAACTAGTGATTAATAGAAAAAGCTAGATTCCTGAAGGTTATGGCATTTAGAAAGATCTTAATTGTTCACAATGGTAAAACTAGGAAAGAAAAGAATTCTATAGCCTCAGACATTGTCTCCCTGCAGACCACAGCTACATGTGAAACTTATCTTTACTAAGGTACCTTTCTAAACTTGCCTTAACTAAAGTTAAGTTTTTAGAAGGTTTCATAGGTGTAAATATTTTATGTAGTTACAGTATTTGCTGGAGCCATTCGCATCTGGATAACACTTTATTCATGTTCTTAAATAACTGACAGCCTCTAATTTAGGGGACTCACTTTGGTTGCTTAGCTGCTAAGCATGAAGGGTGGTTTGCACATTTGCAAGTGTTCAATTACTTCATGCTGTCTTCAGATAAACCTCATGGAAATGCCATACAGAGTTTTCAAAGCATCATATTTTCTGATTAAAAATTCAGCGGACACTCTAAAAAGGAGAGCACAGAATTAAACAATGTAGAGAGAGCTACAACAGCATATGGACATCAATTCACTGCTTGTAGGTGAAGCTTATCACTAAGCGAAAGCCAGGACCTAGATGGCATCTTGGATTCCTGCTCGCTTTCTCTTTCTCTCTTCATTTCAAAACCGTGTCTTTCAGGCCACTATCATTCCACACCTGAAATACTACAACAGTGACCTGACTGGTGCCATGCTCACTCTCATTTTTTTTGAACTTTAAGTGTGTTATTCCCTTATTTGGAATGCTCTTCTTTCACCCCTAGCTCTTCCCTGGCAAGCACCTCCAGGTTCAAGACTGCATTAGTCCATTCTCATGCTGCTATAAAAAAACTGCACGAGACTGGATAATTTAGAAAGGAAAGAGATTTAACCGACTCACAGTTCCACCAGGCTGGGGAGGACTCAGGAAACTTAGATTTATGGCAGAAGGAGAAGCAAATATGACCTTCCTCACATGGCAGCAGGAAGGAGAAGTGCAGAGCGAAGGCTGAGGAAAAGCCCCTTATAAATTATCAGATCTCATGAGAACTCACTAACATGAGAACAGCATGGAGGTAACTGCCCCCATAATTCACTTACCTCCCACTGGGTCCCTCTCCCACAACACATGGGGATTATGCAAACTACAGTTCATGATGGGATTTGGGTAGGGCCTAGCTAAACCATATCAAAGACTAAGCTCAGGTTTCATCCAGGAAAACTTTGCTTCCTCCTAAAGCTGACCCAGGTGCTGCTGCTTTCTGCATCCCAGCATTCTCACATTATGCTAATTACCCATCATGGTACACACCATGACTTAAAAATACTGTAAGGCTGTCTGTCACCCCACTGGACTTTATGCTCCTCAGGGTAGAAATGATGTATCACTTTTCATTATGCATTTCTAGCACCTAGTAGAGAGATAGACCCTAGTAAGCATGCAATACAATATTTATTGACTGATAGACTGTTTTTCTTATTTGTTCTTTTAGGCGACTATATCTTACCCAAGCTGCTGGACTAGAAGTGCCACCTGAAGAAATGCCTTTGGAATTGCCAGAAACACATATAGGTATTATTTAATTGCAATAATGATGGTGATTTTTTTCAAACTCTTGTTTTTCTATTTAAAATACACTTAACTATTGTGAGCAGGTGCCCCACATACAAAAGTTATTCAGAGACTAGTTACCTGCCAGCTTCTCTCAATTTCTCCTCTTGCAGTGCTTGTCCTAATCTATCTCCTGTCTGTAGTACCACTTTCAAATGAAGGTCACTATGTTTCACAGTAAATTAAATAAATACTGGCAGAGAGGGATGAGGCTGTTATCTACACTGGCAAGGTTTAGGGCCCTATTTAGCCAACCAAAATGACAACATATACATAGGCACAAATATAATTACTGTAACTTATTAGCTAACAGAAAGAAATACAACTTGGAGTTTCTACAAATGGGACTCCCTCTTACTATAATACATAAATTCTACATTTGCAGTTCTCAAAGTTCTATCCAATTAAAAATGTGACAAAGTATGAATTGCATTTTTATTTTTATATGTTCAAAATGTATACATAATTAATTCCTTTGTATTCATCCAAGAAGAGAAGTCAGAATTGCAACCCATAGAAGTAGAAAGTAGAGACTTGATGTCCTCATCAGATGAGAGCAGTACCTTACACCTTAGTCATGAAAATAGCATCGAAGATCTACAGTATGTAAAGACAGATAAAGAGGAAAACTCATGCACAGAGTTTGGGGACACTGATATGAAGTACTTACTATATGAGGATGAGAAGGATTTCAAGGTAAGATTCATAAGAACGTTACTTTGACTACCAAGAAAATGCTGTTTTATTAATTGAGAAAATTAACCTAAAATATGGATATTGAAAATTCCATTTGCAATTATTAGTAAAATTGGCCCACCATTCATATCTCTCATTTGGATACCATTTTCACTCCTACTCTTGCCCAATTTTCTTCCTATATTCCTTTATAGGCCTTCATTAATAGTATACAAAGTAAGTTATCTAATGCTACATAACAATCCCAAAAACCTAGTAGCTTATAACAATAACTATTCTCCCTTAGGGCTCTGTTGGTTAGAAATTTAGGAAGGGCTCCACTAGACAGTTCTCACTTGGTGGACTCTCAGTCAGTTGCAACCACATGTTGGCTAGGGCTGCACCCATCTGAAGCCTTGGTTGAGGCAGAAGTCTTTACTTCCAAGGTGGTTTGTTCATATGGCTAGCATGTTGATGCTGGCTAAACTGAGGGCCTCACTTCTTCTTCACATGTGCCTCCCCACAGGGTGTTTTGAATTTCCTTTGTTATAGTGTCTGTCTTCTCCCAAAATAAGCAATCCTAGAGACCAAGATAAAAGCAGCAGTTTGGCTGTGGTGGCTCATGTCTGTAATCCCAGCACTTTGGGAGGCTGAGGCGGGCGGATCACCTGAGGTTGGGAATTTGAGACCAGCCTGGCCAACATGGTGAAACCCCCTCTCTACTAAAAATACAAAAATTAGGCTGGGCACGGTGGCTCATGCCTGTAATCCCAGCACTTTGGGAGGCCGAGGAGGGTGGATCACGAGGTCAGGAGATGAAGACCATCCTGGCTAATACAGTGAAACCCCGTCTCTGCTAAAAATACAAAAAAATTAGCTGGGCATTGTGACAGGAGCCTGTAGTCCCAGCTACTTGGGAGGCTGAGGCAGGAGAATGGCATGAACCCGGGAGGC